CCCCAAAACCCCAAAACCCCAAAACCCCAAAACCCCATTTTGTGTTAGGATTATATTAGTAAAAATTATAAATATAATGGAGTCAGAAGAGAGTAAAATCCAACCTCAAATAGAGAACGATGGAGCTGACGAAATGGAACGCAGAGATAGTCAAAGAATCGACCATGGAAAAGAAGATGGTGATTTATATGACTCTGACGACTTTGAAAAAGACGATGACCCTCAAAAAGCAGATAATGGCTCGATAAGTCAATTTAAAGACTTTGAAGGTAATCTTAGAAGTAACCAAGTTTGAAAAAATTTAGAAGAGAAATCTCGAGGACTTAACTTACCAATATTTAACAATTCTACCCGATCGAAAGACACTTTTAAAGGGATCTCAACTAACGCGAATACTCCAACAAGACACAAAAACAAACTAAAAGAAAAGTTGAATTAATTATAAGAGGTATGAAACAGAAGAAGAGAATAGCAACCTCAAATAACTCTATCAAGGCTGTTAACCGTATAAGATCTACAAATAATTCATCCAAGAGGATCAATGACTTCCTGAACCTGAGACAGAACGAGGAGTAAGATAGCCTAATTTTAAAAGCTGAGTCATATTCCTATAGGTCCAAAATGTTTAACGATTTCGGAACTCCAGGCCTGGAGTCAAAGAATGATCAAATATCGCATCATAGAGACTCTATTGACCGGGATCGGCTCCCACAGGAGTTGATTAGGCAAGAGTTTTTCTCTAATTCTATAGTCGTATTGATCAAAATTCTTGTGAGAAAATCTCTCTACGAAAACCTTCATTAATAGGAGAAGAGGAGACATATCAGCCAGAATCAAAACTGTTTGATTACGAAAGCTTAAAACAATCGCCTAATTTCTGTGTGAAGCCCTACCATAACGCCATCTATCGGGGAGAGGTACTCTCCCAAGTCCTAGATGGTGGACTTCGAAAGGAAGTTCGTCATGGATTTGGAGTAATGCTTTACCACAACGGTAGAGTTTATGAAGGTATTCTTGCTAAATAAATACCTCTATAGGTCAATGGATTAATGACAAAAGGAACGGCAAGGGCTACGAAAGGTACAAATAATAACAACATCTATGAAGGTGACTTCAAAGATGGCAAAGCCCATGGAGGCGGTATTTTCAAATGGGAAGCAGGTGAAACCTACAATGGACAATGGCACAAAGGCCTCAAGCAAGGCCAAGGTGTCTGGCGTGGCAATGAAGGTGAATACTACATTGGTGAATGGAAAGAAAGCCGAACCCATGGCAAAGGAATCTATGTCTGGTCCAATGGCGACAAGTACGAAGGAGAATGGAAAAATGGTCTCAAGCATGGCCAAGGCAGTGACATTTTCAAGTACTTTTATCTTGTTTATATTCTAGAAATGGTGATGTCTATGTAGGAAGTTACCAATTTGGTAAAGCACACGGAGAAGGACAATACACTTGGAAAAATGGATCTGTGTACACTGGCCAGTTCTCAGATGGCATGAAGCATGGGAAGGGAAAATGGGTCAAAGACCGCAAGGCCAATAGCAACTCATTTATTGGCAACTACTACCTTGATAAAAAGCAAGGCCACGGTGAATTCAGATGGGCTAGTGGAAATGTTTACAAAGGAAACTACAAAAATGATCTCAGAAATGGTTTCGGAGAGATGACTTGGACCGATGGAAGCTTCTATAAAGGGAACTGGGTCAATGGCATCCAACATGGATTTGGCAAAATGCAGTTCCTCGATGGAACCATAAATGAGGGAATCTTTGACCACAATATTTTTCAAGGAGTCAACGAAGAGGCTAGTGAAATTGAAGAAGAGAGTTATGATGATACCCAAAATGATGAAGATCACAGAGACGCCTTAGATCATGCCTTGACTCCAGCAAAGACTCGTCAAAAACTAGATGAGGAGGAGGAAGATGAGTCAATGCCAATTCCTCAACGAACGCTCAAGCCATCTCCACTAAAAGAACGAGAAAGACAGAAAAGAGAATTTGAGAACACTGATGAAGAAATAGAAGATATTGTTACAAAAGCCAAAGTAATCGATCTCATCGATGAAGAGGAGAAATTTCAAGACCAGCCAAAAGTTCGCCGTCTTCAAAAAATCGGTTCAAGGAACATCAACCCTAGGACATACGAGACTCGTAAAGAAGTGGCTGATTTCGGAACTCAATTCTCATCAAAATCTCGAGAAAGGGAAGTCAGAGGGATTACTATCCAGGCTGATCTAGACTCTAGCTCAGGTGATGAGAACCAGAGTTACTTCAATAGTCGAGGTAAACTCCCTAGTGTTGTCAAGAAGCATAAAAAGAAGAGCAGGGGTTTACTTAACGCTACAGTCCAAGAACGGTTTAAAAAGAGAAAGAAAAGCCGGATAGCCATAGACCCTACTAAGAAGATGAAAATGATAAATTCTTCAGCATTAAAGAATTTTAGCCCTGCTCGAAATATCTCTATCGCTAAGATTAACAAGAGGAAGAGGTCCCTGAAGAATCATATTTTCTCTAACAGAGAAAAGACTATATCTGGCTCTAGTACTCTTGCTCATCATGGGATGGAGAATAGGAGGTCCAGGATCCGGAAGTTGTCCAAATCTGGTGTGGACAACCCTAATAACTCCTTCGATGAACGAGAGGAGAAGAAGCAAGAAGTTACTTATTTCCCAAAATTAGAGCATAAGCCTAATTTGCATCCAAATTTCGGTAATTCTTTAGGCTAAACTCTGGTTTAGACATGCCATTAACAATGAAGAACAAGAAGAAGCGGAAGAAGAACAAAAGAGGCGTTAATAGTGATTCTATTAACAACTTTGCTCATCGTAGTGTGATGCATGATCCTGATGAAGGAGGTAAATTTCGTTGATTTTCTTACAGACTAATCCCTGTAGATTCTAAATTCCAATTGAGGCAAGGCCAAGATCAAAAGCGTGATCTTTCACTTGACAAGAAGAAGAGCCCAAGAGACATCAGAAAGCTATTAGCAACGCTTAAAAAGAGGAAAGCAGCCCGTGAGAAGAAGGCATGGGTTCCTAGTGGTCCCATAAAACACTCTGATGGGTATAATCCAAGTCTTAAGATGTATTATTAACAATTTTCAGCCATTGAGGTTTCCAATGGGGTTTTGGGGTTTTGGGGTTTTGGGGTTTTGGGG